CGATGTTTTAGAATAAGGAATCCAGCCGTTTTACCTGAGGAAGGACACGGAAAGTGTTCGGAAAACGTTTGTTTTTACAAAGTTGTTTATTTTGTATTTCTACACACCGGTTAGAGGCACGAGTAAATACGTTTTATTTATTTATTATACATGAAGAAGTTATATTGTTGAGTGTGTTTTCAGTGTACTGAAGTTGTATTGTTCAGTGTGTTTTAAACATGAGTTGAGTGAAAGATAGTTACACAGCAAAGTTTAAATTGAAAGTGTTGCATTATGCATAAGAAAATGGAAATTGAACAGCAGGAAGGAAGTTTGATGTAGATGAAAAAAATGTGGCAATGAATTCAAACAAAGGATGCTTTTGTGAAAACATCACAAAAAAATTTGGCAATCACTTCATGTTTGTGGAAAGACAGTGAAATATCCCAACCTGGAATCAAATCTGTTGAGATATGTCTGAGATTCGAGCAAATGGATTTTCTGTATCTGTTGAAATGATTCAGTTCAAAGCCTGAAGGATTGCTCAAAATATAAAAATTCCCAAAAGTGAAGTTAAGCTGGGCAAGATGTTTTATGGCACGACAGGAGCTTGTGATTCTGTGTCAAATTTCAATGGCACAGCAACTTCCTGACACCTATAAAGAGAAACTGCTTGCATTTCAGAAACATGTCCTCAGCATAAGAAAGATATATGGCTACAACTTAAAGGCAATAGGCAGGCAATGCAGATGAAACTTCTGTCTTCTTTGATATGCCAAGTCACACTACAGTCAATCAGGCAGGTGAAAAAACAGTTCTGGTGCAAACAGTGGGAGAAGAAAAGCAGTGCTGTACTGTAATACTATGCATCACTGTTGATGGAAACAAGCTGTCACCCTACATCATTTTTAAGTGTAAAATCCTGCAAAAAGAAATACTACTTGGCAGTAGTATTGGTAGATATTGGTTCAAGTTCAAGATCAAGGCTGGATGGCAGAAGAACTCTTTGTGGATTGGCTGAAGCCAGTGTGGTTTCAGTGTCCAAGTGTACTGTTACATTGGCAGTCCATGTCATTGTTGACAGCTTCCAAAGTCATCTGACCAAGAGTGTGAAAAAGAAGATGAGAGAAAAGAAAAGCGATATGGTAGTGTAAATTAGCCGACTTTTAGGGGAAGATCGTTAATCCCACGTCAGGATCATCTAGGGATGTTTGTGTGTGGGTATGGTGGAGAAGACAAGATAACAAGTATCTTATAAAAAATCCGTTTATTTTAGCATAAAACAAATATTTCTGAACACAATCAGCTGTTCAAAGTCCTGAGCGTTGATGTTCTTTTTGTTGTTCGTCCTCGTAGGTGGCCCCAGAGCAGTGCTGTTAAACAGTTCAAGGGACAGGTGGGGAGACTCCGTTGGCCTGTGGCAGCACAGTTTCAGTATCAGCATGAAGACGAAAAACTTCATCCAAAGGGTGTTGATACACACCATCTTTTTGCATCAGAATCTTTTTTGAGAGTCCCTTGTGCCCTTGAAGATTGGGATTATATCAATCTCCATTCTCCCCTTTTCGTCTATCCTGATTGGTTCCAAGTTCCTTTTTCCCACTCCCCGATTGGTCCCTCATATGTCCTTAAGTGAAAGATGAGACCTGTTCAGGTCACGAGAAAGGTCTGCTTCGGGGAATTTACCCAACACCATCCATTAACTCTGGACAGAAGGTATTGTTGTGCTCATATTTTACCTCATTGTTGTCTAGTCCATAATGTCTTAGAATTTTAATGACCTGACGCAATGTCTCTTTTTATCATTAACTTTTCCCCTTTTCAAAATTCTCTATGTTCTAATTATTTGTACACAAGTGCCTTGTCAAAGGCCCATCTCTACTGGAGGACGCTCATTTACATTTATTGCATCATGTTTTACATTAATAGTATTTTTTTTTTCTCGTCTCGGTTTCATATGACCAGCACAACTGATCCAATCTTTGATCAGTTTTAACAATAGAGGTTTTTTTCCTAGTTTTTGTTTTAATAAATTTCTATAATAAATGTTTAATTTCAACTCGCTTTTGAAACCTCACAGTAGTGATACCAGGAGGGATGACTGGACCACTTCATCTACTTCATGTATCCATCAACTGACCTTTTAAATAATACACACGTCAGAAAAACCTTTAACCGATGTGAAATAAGAATTAATAGTACAAACGTTTTCAGACCCCTCCTGGGTCCTTCTTCAGGTAAAAATCGTTTGAAAAGTTAATAAATACGAAAAATATTCGTTTTGAACGATTTTTTAAAATCGAAAAGATAGAATGGAATCACGTGACCTATAGCTGTGAACGTCACAGTTCCACGTCATATCGACAGCTATTTAAATATTTTCCATCTTTTTTAAAGATTTTACGAATAACTTTGTTGTAAAGCATAAAATACCATATAATTTCAGATAACCCATTTACTTCCTTTAATTTTAGGTCTACGATTCACCTAATCCTCCTGTTGTATTAGGGCCTGCCATGCCAAAGAGAGAGAGATCTCATCTCTGGAATTAATAGGTGATGTAGTGCTGTATGCCCTGTATATTTCTATTTGCTTCAACCATTTGAGATGGTCTAAATATGAGGAGGTGGTAATTAATTTAGCATTTGCAAAGTCTGCAGTTATTTCTGGATCAGACGCATAAGTTGATAAGGAAGTGGTACATTTATTTTGTTGAATATCACGCATGTGTTCTTTCAATCTGATTCCAACAGCTTGTTTTGTTGAGCCTATGTAAATTAAGTCCTTGCCAAAACGATGGTCCCTAAGTGGCAGTCTATATACCCCCGGCATTCTTTCTTCCTTAGATTTGTCTTTTCCATTACGTAGAATATCAAATATAGAAGGGCATCTTCTGAATGCCAGGGAGATACCCCTCTGCCTTGCGATTCTACTATGTATTGATTTCAATAGCAGGTTGTAGGTAATCGACACCCTCTGTTTATCCTCCTTCTGGTTGACATTTATTGAATTAGAGGGTGTCAATTACCTACAACCCGCTATTGAAATCAATACATAGTAGAATCGCAAGGCAGAGGGGTATCTCCCTGGCATTCAGAAGATGCCCTTCTATATTTGATATTCTACGTAATGGAAAAGACAAATCTAAGGAAGAAAGAATGCCGGGGGTATATAGACTGCCACTTAGGGACCATCGTTTTGGCAAGGACTTAATTTACATAGGCTCAACAAAACAAGCTGTTGGAATCAGATTGAAAGAACACATGCGTGATATTCAACAAAATAAATGTACCACTTCCTTATCAACTTATGCGTCTGATCCAGAAATAACTGCAGACTTTGCAAATGCTAAATTAATTACCACCTCCTCATATTTAGACCATCTCAAATGGTTGAAGCAAATAGAAATATACAGGGCATACAGCACTACATCACCTATTAATTCCAGAGATGAGATCTCTCTCTCTTTGGCATGGCAGGCCCTAATACAACAGGAGGATTAGGTGAATCGTAGACCTAAAATTAAAGGAAGTAAATGGGTTATCTGAAATTATATGGTATTTTATGCTTTACAACAAAGTTATTCGTAAAATCTTTAAAAAAGATGGAAAATATTTAAATAGCTGTCGATATGACGTGGAACTGTGACTGTGACGTTCACAGCTATAGGTCACGTGATTCCATTCTATCTTTTCGATTTTAAAAAATCGTTCAAAACGAATATTTTTCGTATTTATTAACTTTTCAAACGATTTTTACCTGAAGAAGGACCCAGGAGGGGTCTGAAAACGTTTGTACTATTAATTCTTATTTCACATCGGTTAAAGGTTTTTCTGATGTGTGTATTATTTAAGTTAAATCCGATGTGCAGGTGATAATTATTATGACCTTTTAAAGTTCATCTGCAACATTTCTACTGTGACTGGAGATGCACTATGAAGGAGATGATGTTGACTGGGAGGCTAATAAAAACCGTCCCTGTGTCAGATGTGCAAATGGATTGTGTCTTCATGGAAACTAATACCAAAAGAAATTATGTCTAAAAGTTTCAAAGTCACATCCATTTCCAATGTGATGGATGAGTCAGAAAATGGATGCAGTGTATCTGACATCATCTGAGAATGAAGACACAAGTGACACTGGTAGTGACAATAAAGTTTCAAGTGAATAACATAAATGATAACTGTCAGTTTCAAATTTAGACATTGATTATAATTTTTATAGTCCCTTCTTTTCTTCTTTTTCACTTTTTCTTCATGCCTTTTTCTTCTTACTTTTCGCCCATAGTGGCCTAAAACCTCCAAATAATCTTGCTACAAGTCCTAAGGTATGTAAAGACAATTAATAATAATAAATTGCTTTAAAATTATTCATTACCTTGAGTATAAGCCACACCCTAATGTTGGACAAAAAATGTAGGGTAAAAAAATGCAGCTTATACATGCATAAATATGGTATATACAAAAAAATTTTCTTTTCTAAAATGTTTTTGTTATAAAATATTTTAGATAGATTTTTTTTATTATGACAATGATTATGATTATTATACTCATAATAATCATAATCAATACAAAATTTCCAGACAGGAATGGAGCCTGCATCAACAGGATGCCATTCAAGTACTAAATGCATGGAAATACTATTTAGACTTATAATATACATCATATAAGATATGTCACAACCTTTATTCGAATGTATTTGAGACTTTTAACATTAAAATGCAAAGGCATTCTATTTATAGAATGGCTTTTCCATTCTACAGTTCCTGACAAGGGTTGATGAAATAGTGGCCTAAACATAAGAATTATTGAATTTCTTTGCTGGAAATTTTGCAGTGCTTTGTAATTTCTTATCTGTATGTACAGTTTCAGTTTTCTGGTACAGTTGGTGTTTATTGTCAAAACTATATTTGCTGTGAAATTATAAAAGAACATGCTATAAAACATTTCTGTTACAAAGTATGTCTATTTATCCATTATAATGTTTAAAAAATTTTAATCAAAAATAAATTTTACAATTACTTGGATATCTTGTAATCGAGCCTCATGATCTTTCTTCTTAGACAGGATATCGTGTCTTTTATTCTGTGCTTCCAAAGTATTTATAAAGGCAATTTCATTCACCTATTCAATATAAGCCAACATAGTTATTTTATAAGTATTATATATTGCAATCAAACATTGGGTTGAATTGTAAATAATGTCATTTTTTTTTACAAGTTTTAATTTTATAAAAATAATTTATATAGAAATGATATTTATTTAATCTAATATATAATGTCCTTTGTTAGATATGACATTTTTCCATTGGTGTAAAAGTTTTTTTGATGCCTTTCTTGTAAAAATCATCAGATTTTGATTAAAAACATTTGTGTGCACAAATATTAAATTTAATAATTATAATTTTAATTAAATAATTTTAGAACAAACTGGAAGAAAAGAATTGGCTCAGAGCTGGACTCAAACCCGCAACTCCTGCTTACCATGTGCATGTGTTGCCAATTACGCTACTTGGACCTCTGGTTCAATCTCCTCTTTCAGGTATATTTAACTTACGATATACAATAATAACCGATAATGGTTATATCATAAGTTAAATATGCCTGGAAGAGGAGATTGGACCAGAGGTCCAGGTAGTGTAATTGGCAATGCATACATATGGCAAGCAGAAGTTGTAGATTTGAGTCCAGCTCTGAGCTGATTCTTTAATTCCAGTTTGTTCTAAAATTATTTAATTAAAATTATAATTATTAAATTTAATATGAGATGGCACCTAATGCCTCCCTGTAGGGACAAATTAATCAGTAATTCAAATTACTATTGCTAAAATATAGCCCAATATTATATGGCAGTTGGTGTAGCTTTATTTCTGTACACTTCTGAATAGTTTCTTTTTAATTAACTTTTTCCATTAAAACTGTTTCAAAAGGCAAGAAAGTAGTAGTAATATGTAGTGCCAGATCTAGGCTATAAGACAAATGAGAGAAAACTTTCCAACTAAGCTCCCTCATTTTTTGTTGGGTGGTTATTGCAACATGCAATTGAATGTTTTCATGTAATAAAATAATGCTTTTCTGTTTATAAAATATGGATATTTTTCTTAGTTTTTCACAAAGTTTTTCTAATTTCTGATGGTATAAAGCAGTATTTACTGTTACATTTGAAATAAACAACTCAAAATGCAGTATTCCTCTCGTATTCCACCACACACATAGCCATACCTTTTGGATAAAAATCACTCTTTGATTTTAGAATTGCAGTATCTTTGGATTTAACTGTTTGTCTTTTATGAATGATATTACCAATGCCTCCCATCCCCAGTTACTATTCTGTCCAGAAATGGATTTTTCTGTTGTCAATTAAGCAGTGAAATGCATAAGAATAACCTATCCAGCTAATTCTGTTCACTAAGATCATATGCGGACCCACACATTTATCTTTTGTAGTTGATAGCTGCTATTGATTGAGATACTTTAAGTTTTTATATGCAATTTCTCATCTAGATAGTTTTGAGTCAGCTTTCACTATTGCACCAATTTTAGCATTTTTCAAGATTGTTCCAGAGTTGGGATCATCTTCAAGATTAAAATCCCCATCATTAAATATTTTGAACTAATAATGACATTTTCTGGCATTTAAGGCTTCACTGCCATACAAACTACATATATTGTTTGTTGCTGCAAGTACAATGTTATATTTTTTTAATTCATATAACATTACATACTTTAAATATTCTTATGAGAAGCTCATTTTGATCAACACTAATAATTTAACTTTTTAAAAAATAATCAAAAACCATTATGAAAATCATTGTTAAAGCCATTACAAAATTAAAAAATTAGCACTTGAGCTAATTGGTGTATTATGTAAGTTATGCTATAGCACGAAAACAGTTCTTAGGAAAAAAATAATGGCATTAGTTATGACTCAACCCAACAATAAATAAAACAGCATTGACAGCATGAGTAACATCACAAATTAAAATCATGTAATATAGAATAAGCACAATGTAACCACAAATATTAACTCAAAACAAAGAAAAGCAATTTTTTGGTGTTACATAAAGATTATTTTTAAAACTTAAATGTAAAACTCAATTAACTAGACACCTCTATATAGGGTACTGTAGTCACTGGCTACCAGCTGCTGTAATTTTAGTTTTGATTTCGTTGGCAAAAGCACATTTCTCCATTATGCATATAACTAATGGCAGAATTCCTGTTAGGGATTCTGTCAAATCATTGTTTTTTGCTTAATTTTTTATATATTTTGCATTTTGAGCTACTCCTACTGCTACCTTCTCCTACTTTTTTAGATTATTTTAGAGTACTTCAAGTCAAATAACTTTACTGTTTTCTTTATTTTTTATTTTTAATGTTTCAGGATTCCCCAACAGTCATCCTATCATGGGTTTTTGCTAAAAGTAGTTTCCATAATTTTTTATATCAAATAAAACTGTTCCTTATTACTTCTTTTTGCACACAATATTAAAATTCCTGTTAAAAAAAAGTTCAATTTCACTCAATCCATCAGTTACATTGAGTGTATGCCACAAAACTAATGATTGTATAATAAGCTTCAAAGTCAAATTGATTATATATGTTATGGTAAAAGTGATTAATCTGGTAATTTTGATAAATGTGATAAATTTTTTCATATATTGTGAATTAACCATGTTTACTGGTGATTATGAATACTCGCCAGTTTACAATGATAAATATGATAAATTGTACTTAATCAAATTTACCAGACATTATGCATAATTGCCAGTCTAGGCTGGTAAATTTGATAAATAATGCATTATTGGCCAGTAACTCTTGGTTAGAAAGTAACCAAACCCAGCAGTGGACCAAGGAATTATAATTTGTGCATCTCAATAAAAATAGATCATATTATCAAAGCATTATGTGTAATCCTTATGAAGCCATATTTGGTTCACCCTTAAAAGTTGTGCCAAAGACATCATCCCTTCCTAATGATGCTGTAGGAGATGTTTGCACTGGAGAGGAGTTATAAGAAATAATTGAATCAATAGTTAAAATCAATATCACTTAGAAAAACCCATTGAAAATATTTCAAAAAAAGTATTTAAAACGAACAGCCATCACTCGACCTTGATTTGTCAACCTAAGTACAGTCTAGCATGAAAGTGATCAGTCTTTCTACAATAAAGAACAGAAAGAAAAAGTTAAGAAGTGAGTGAGCAAGCACAAAGGCAGATTTAGAAGCTCGAGAAAAGAAAATAAAGAAAATATCAAAACTGAAGTTTGTTGTAGCCAAAGTAGGAGATACAGTGAAAGCTAAGAATACCAGCTTTGGACAAGGCAAGAGGCAATTTGCAAAATATGACAGTAACATTAGCTACCAAAGATGACAAGATTATCACTTGAAAACAAAGAAGTGATCTTTCACAATCATACATCAGAAACTACTTTGTGCTATGTGACAGACAGCTTCTCAGAGTAGAGAATGTACTGTACCAAATATCACTTTCTCTCTTAGAAAGTGCAGAAGTAAAACATCAATTTTGGTAGGTGAGGGATATTAAGTGTTCATGCAAGAAAGATGAAAAATTAAGTAATTCAAAATAATTCTAAAAAATAGAACTTTAATAATTCTTACTGCTTATTAAAGTTATTAAATTGAAAAGTGAATTATTAAATTTCTATATTTTTCATAATAATTTTTTTTATATTTTTGTACACAACTCTATTCAGCTGAAACAAATTTTTCTTAGTTTCTTTAATTCATTAAATCTTTGTAATATTAAAACAAAAAATGCATTTTTGATTTATTTTATTAAAATTTGTTTAAATCCATGAATTGCTTTACTAAAACAACTAAAGATGGAAAATTTCATGATATTTATGTAATTTATGAACTACATTTTGAAAATTATGTAAAAATCACTTTAAAAATAATATATTCATATGTATGAAGAGTTGAGCAAAGTTAACCCATAATAATTTCATCTTATACAATATGTACGACTTAAAAATTTGTATGGATCACATAATTGCACTTTTACGGTTTTAGTCAATCAACCATATAAATTTGCCTTATGTGATGAGAAATTCAAAATTTAAAAAGAAATAAATTTTCAAACATATTCTGACATTCAATTTTGGAATTTGGTTTTGTTAAAAACCAGAGGTAGGCCTTGGTGAAGGCTGAAAACATTCAGCATTTTCGTTGAAGTTCTGTTACTGGATAAAAGGTTTTGTTTGTATTTAATTAATTACTCCAGTAATTTGTGAAGAACATAGTTACACTATTTGGTATACTGTGGGATTCCTTTTAAAAATTATCTTTTTGTTTGTTGCTACTCCTATTTCTTTGTAAATATTGCTTAAAGGTGCCACATATTCCATTACTGTGTACTCTTTTATTCTTTCCTGCTCATTACCTTCTTTATTGTCTATTCTTGTTTTGTTAATAATGGCTTTTATTGTATTCTGGTAGATACTGCACTGCCTAGCTAGTTCTTTGACATGATGTAATTCTTTAATTCTGTCTTGTGGTTTGTTGCAATGTGTTTACGCTCTCTTTATAAGCGCCTGGAATGCTGATATTTTATAACATGCCGAGTAATGGGAGTTCCATGGTATAAATAATGGGTTATACATTGTCTTTCTGTAAAATTTTGTTGCAATTTTCCCTCCTTTCTCTATTTCTATTGATATGTCTAGAAAATGCACACTTTAGTCGTTCCTTTGCTCTAGTTTGAGTTCTAGGCCAAACTTGTTGGAATTGACGTCTGATAAATTGTTGGATGTCTGGTTTTTCTTTCCATATAATCAATACGTTGTCAACATTGTGCATATACTATCATGTATGCTGCATATTTCGGTAAGATTGCTTTTTCTAAAGACCTTAGGACCATCTCGCATAATGCTTCTGCAATAGAGCTTCCCATTGTCATTCCTCTATGTTGTGTGTATGTAATTTTGTTAAATTTAAAGATCAATGAATATGTAGCAAGATGCATTAGTTCCAGTATTTGTTTTTTAATATTTATCGCATTTCCTATCTTTCTCATTAGGAAGTCTCTCAGGTGGCAAAAACATGACTCTAGTTTTATTGAGGGGTATAAGGCCTTGAAATCTAGTACTGTCATGTACCTCCCTTCTTTTAATTTCGTATTTTTCATTTTCTACAGCAATTCAAGTGGTTGTTTTATGCTGTAATCATGTGGAGGTAAGCACGCGTTGATGAAGTTCATGAGTAATCTTTTGCAAGGGTGTGTTAGAAAAGTATTTGACTCTTGTTTGTAGCTGCTCCAAAGCACATGGATGGGCAGTCTTGCATTGTGTTTCTTTTATGTACTTTAATAAAAGCTTGCTTTATGTAGATCTTTTCATTACCACCATGTCTTTCAGTTTGTTGGCTCTTGTAAGTACCAGTCTGGACCAGAAGTCACATGATTTCAATTCAAAAATTTTCTCTAGAACACAGTTAGATAGACGACCAGTATGACACTATTAGGTTGGTTCAAAGGGTCCAAGACACAGAACAAGATACAGAATTTTAAATAAAGTTCTGTATTTATACTAGAACACAGACATGGTCATTCCTTGAAATAAAGATGCTTGTTAGCTATGGTCTTGACCCATCATTTTGCAAATTGATGGATTCCTTGGCAATACCACTTGACTGGTTTTGTTGCCAAAACTCATGAACCCCATTTTCAACATCATGCACTGTATTGAAGGAATGTCCTCACAGAAAATGTGTCAACAATCGAAAGAGGTGAAAATCTGATGGAATGGGGTCAGGGTTGTATGGTGGGTAAGGCAAAACTGTGATCCCTTTCAGCTCCTCTAACTTTTCTTGGACCACTCCAGAATAGTGTGCCAGAACATTATCACAGTACAGAAGTGTTCAATTTGATTAAGCAATGCTGAATAGTGAGTGTGCAAAACTTCAAACACTTTTTCCATTTGTTTGGCATAGAGGTTGCCATCCACAGCCCAACCATTAGAAACCAGTTTCCAATGTACTGGACCATCCAAATTCCACCAATAGTTGTCTAAACCAAGGCTTGTCTACGAGGCTGATGTTCCCAGAATTAAAGCAGAACCATTCATCTGCAGTTGTCTTGTTCATCAAGTCTGAGCCTTCAATTTCACAAATTTTCTCTGCTGCTACCCTTGCACTTAACCCTTGTCTCCAGTAATGTCACAATGTACTTTGAATGATGAGTTTTTTGTCAGTCATTTTTTATTGTGGAAAAAATTCACCAAAGGAATGAATTCAACAGCTCTATAAAATAATGTACATGCTTTGATGATGCAAATAACAACTTGTTTACATTCACAGTAGTTTTGCCAGTGCTAGAGATCTTTTTCACAAAAGTGTTGTCAGTGTCTGGAAACTTTTGAATCACCCTGATAAAATAAAGCATATATTTTAAATTAAATGAATTTAAAATATAATTAAAAATTACAGCCTGGTATTGTGACAATGTTACAATAATTTTTGTTCATATTTATGTTTAAATTGTTAATTCATCAAAATGTGTGAACTCCCAAAAATCCTGCAATCTCATTACTCTGGCACTGTTCTGGTCTCATACATGTCAGATTACTGAGATTATACTGTAAAAGATTTTCTATTACCAAAAACAAGATTAGGGATAGGACCAAATTCAATTATATTCTCATCAATAAAGCTGTGTAATTCAGCAGAGGAAATGATATAAAGTATACAGAATTACAAACAAATAAAGAAATTAAATGGTACCTATAAGTTCACAGAAATATTATAAAAAATGGCAATATTTATAACTTTTGAAGTTTTTGTACATTTTATCTTCTCTTTATTTTCTTTTTCTGTTTGATTATTTGTTGTAAAAAAAGATTGCCATGAGGTCCCTGGTAACTGTTTTCCCCCCTTTTTTGAAATATAATTTAAATTAAATTCAAATTGTTTAAATTAATTAATGTTTAATTAAATAATTTAAATGTTGTAAAATACTTTAAACATTAAACCTTTTCTTCTTCATCATGTGCTTTACGAACAATTCGTTGCAATTGCATCCGACGTTTTTCTTCAGCTCTTCTCAACTTTTTCTCCATTGAAATTCTTCTCTGCTGCTGCTGTTCTTCTTTCCATGCTTTCATTTCTTCAACCTAATGACAATTTAATGTAAATTATGTACATATATGAAACTTGCAATACAAAATAAATAGCAAAAAATAATGCACAACAGACTTTTTTTGCAATATCTTTAAATCTTTGGGTCTTTTCTTCAAGCAATTTTTCTCTCTTTTCTTGTGCTTTAAGTTGCTTTTCTTCATGGCGTCTGATACTCTCTGATAGTGACCTGTTTGTTATAAATATGCAAATTATTATCTTTTTTATGGGGAAAAATTCATCTCCTAATCACAAGTTCATAATGGGATCAGCTATTGCCTGTAGAAATAACATATATTAGATAGTTTTGGAAAGTTTCATAAAATTAAAAGATTTTCTGAAATTACTTTAATTATACTCAATATTTTAACAGATTACCTTCAGCTACAAAATACAGCAGATTTAAAAACATTCTAATTTTTTTAACAGGTACAGTAAACATGTTTAAATCAGAGTTGTGTACCAAATATTTTTTCAGTTTGGCAGTTTTCTGTTTTGAACAAATTTTAGTATTTTTGTTTTTATAAATTACACCAATAAATATCACAGAGTTGCATTCATTTTTTTAAAATAAAATTACTTTTATATGCATAAGAACATTTTATTACTAGCTTAATTAATCCAAATTAATCCAGAGTGATTCCAACTAAAGAGCGGAGTATTTGAATACAAGAATTGAGAACCATTCAATTGCAGCTGTTGTTCTCAAAAACTTGTGCTAGGTATTCAAACACTTCTCAGATGTAATCTTTATGAGCTCACACAACTGCAAACAAGCCAACTTAAGTACCAAAACCTACTGTCTCACCCAACTGTTGGAAATTCTAATTATGTTATATTTATAAAACAGTACTAAAAATTGATTTATTCTGTGATGTGGCTTCTCGAGGTGGCTAATTTGGAGGTGCCCAAACTTTTTGATTGGAAAGTCAAATTATGCATAATCATAGGTAGGTGAGCCACAAATATTTTGTATATTCTATAAACAATCAAAACTTGATACAGTGATAATCAATGCACAAATATTGAATATTTGTGCATTGATTGTTTATAGAATATAATTATAAATATAATGATAAATCTATCCATACAATAAGAAATAGTTCTCTATGCAGTTCATATTAGCTTAACATAACATATAACCACAAGGTAAGCACAAGTTGCAAGTCAAAGTCCTGCTTTGGTTCAATTCTTTCTTGAAGAATCTTCTAAAATAAATAAAAAATATTAATTTAATTGCCTCTAGTGACAAATTACTTAGTATTTAATTAATAATAGTAGTAGTAATATAGCGCAATATAATTCAGCAATTGTTTGGCTTTAATATTGATAAAACTTCTCCCAACTGACAAATATCCTATATTGTGTTAAATCTTTTAATGATATATTATTTTTTTTACTGTACTCATAAAATAAATTATATTTTCCTTTCCATACAATAATAATAATGCAGAAAATTAAATTTTAATTAAGTTAATTTATCATTCATTTTTGGAATCAAAATGTCACTCTTTCTTAATACAGTAATTCTATCATAAATGTTACCTGCAATCACTAAGCATTGATACAGACAATTGCTCTCATTTGTGCTGATGTCTCAGAAAAACACATGAAGAAAAAACTAAAAAAAATAAATATATACCAATAACACTACATCTTACACACTTGTTCAGCAATAGTTTAATCAAAACAAATGTTTTCGATCCCATTCAGAGGTCTGTCTCAAGTTAAAGAACATTAAATTGCAATTGCTGGAAAAGTAAGGTATTGTGTTGATGCCTACTGACTACATATGTTACCAGATTTAGCATGTTTTTGGTACTTTAGTGCCTAAAATATTTTGTTCAGTACTTAAAATTATCATTTCTTGCTTTGTGTAATAACAGAAACATTAAATTTTGAGAAAAAATTTTTGATAGCATTTAGACTAACTCCAAATGATGAAGGAAACCAGTTTTAACTTTTCCTATAACAATTTACAGCTTTTTTGTCACATTTTTGGGCTTGAATCTATTGATCTTATTAGATAAAAACTGTAACAAAGCCATTATTACTTTTAGATTAGTGTAATTTGCAATACTAAAATATCCCTATATAATTTCTGGAAAACATTGTTATGTTAACCTCTTGACATAATGAGGTTCTCTTAGAAAGCATATAGGGAAAGTGCTGAAAATTACACATATTAAAATTACAAAAAACCAATCAACAAGTTGCATAAATTTCCTGGCTATTATGAGATTTTATTTGAAAAATAACTTTTGTATTATTAATTATCTATACTAATATTATAAAGAGGTAATGTATGTATGTATGTATGTATGTATGTATGTCATTTTATCTTCTCTTTATTTTCTTTTTCTGTTTGATTATTTGTTGTAAAAAAAGATTGCCATGAGGTCCCTGGTAACTGTTTTCCCCCCTTTTTTGAAATATAATTTAAATTAAATTCAAATTGTTTAAATTAATTAATGTTTAATTAAATAATTTAAATGTTGTAAAATACTTTAAACATTAAACCTTTTCTTCTTCATCATGTGCTTTACGAACAATTCGTTGCAATTGCATCCGACGTTTTTCTTCAGCTCTTCTCAACTTTTTCTCCATTGAAATTCTTCTCTGCTGCTGCTGTTCTTCTTTCCATGCTTTCATTTCTTCAACCTAATGACAATTTAATGTAAATTATGTACATATATGAAACTTGCAATACAAAATAAATAGCAAAAAATAATGCACAACAGACTTTTTTTGCAATATCTTTAAATCTTTGGGTCTTTTCTTCAAGCAATTTTTCTCTCTTTTCTTGTGCTTTAAGTTGCTTTTCTTCATGGCGTCTGATACTCTCTGATAGTGACCTGTTTGTTATAAATATGCAAATTATTATCTTTTTTATGGGGAAAAATTCATCTCCTAATCACAAGTTCATAATGGGATCAGCTATTGCCTGTAGAAATAACATATATTAGATAGTTTTGGAAAGTTTCATAAAATTAAAAGATTTTCTGAAATTACTTTAATTATACTCAATATTTTAACAGATTACCTTCAGCTACAAAATACAGCAGATTTAAAAACATTCTAATTTTTTTAACAGGTACAGTAAACATGTTTAAATCAGAGTTGTGTACCAAATATTTTTTCAGTTTGGCAGTTTTCTGTTTTGAACAAATTTTAGTATTTTTGTTTTTATAAATTACACCAATAAATATCACAGAGTTGCATTCATTTTTTTAAAATAAAATTACTTTTATATNCCCCCACGGGGGAAGTGTTATACATTTATAATAGATACATTTTGAGCCACAACAAGGCGTGGCGGGGTCTGCTAGTAATAAATAAAATTGTGTATGGCATCATCCTTTAAGAGATTTTATTATAAAAAACTTTTATATATTATTATTAATTATAAAACTTCAAGAAGTTTAATTTGAAAGATAGTGATGATTTTCATAAAAAATTGCAAATGATAAATAAATTTTTCATTAAGTCCAACCTCTAGATATGATACATAATGCCCCCTCTATCTCCCCACCCTCTCACCTTTAACTGCCAAAATTTAATAACATCAATGTCCCTTATACACAAGCTACCATGTCACATTTTCTTTCTTAATCATTACCCCATTCTGAGATATTAAACAAAACAGGCACAAAAGATACATACATAAAATTTTTTTCCTTTTTTCAATTCAGGGAGTCTCAAAATGTGGAGATTTGCAAAAAACTCGATCAAATTTGACACGATTCTAATGCTTTCCCTTGTCATGTATGCATAACTGCCAAAAAAGTAAAATCATTCTCCTTAATAAATTACATTTGAAAAGTTTAAGTTTACAATTAATTTAGTTTTGCCTAGGAAGATTAATGTTCCAACTGATTTTGGATTTTGATGTTTAACATATAAATATGAAATAAAATCACTTAAATCTTGTACCAAAGGCAACTAATAATACTATATGTTTTTCTGTTCTAACATTGTCTAACTTTGTGAAAAATAAATCTGTTTGTAGTCTGACAATGTTAAATAAAAAAGGGAATAATTTTTAAAAAAATCTCACTATAATAATAAATCTCTCTACAACAATATTTTTTCTTGTTCTGCGAAATATTAGTACAGAAGGATTTCACTGTATACAACAGTAGGCCTATTTCTCTCATTTGTAAGTGATGTGTCAAATATGTTCATGAGCCAGATTAACATGTGACATAGGCCAGATTTGACCCAGGAACCATAGTTTGGGCACTACTGATCTAATTGTTTACTTCAGTCTCATTAATTATCAACATGTTAACCAATTCTGATTTCGAATACTTGATACTAGTTAGTCATCTTTATTATTCCTAACCTAACCTAAAAGTTGTAACCGACAAACTAAACACCCTTATAGAAAACAATTTCAAATACTGCTACAAATAGTGGAAAAACTTTGGAACCACTGTGTGACCTCACAAGGGCCATACTTTGAAGGAGATTATTTGTAGTTTGATGAATCTTTTGTGTACTTTGAAATAAAAAATCAGCACTTACTTTCGGAACACACTGTGTATGTATTGGATATTTATATTATGTGTACCTATTATTCTGTTTTTTCTTTTCTCCCCCTTGTAAAGATGCAAGTCAAATCAATAAAGATTATTATTATTATTATTTTGGGTTTTGTGAGTTATACTCTGTTCACACCGGTGGCTGTGTACTATGCCGGACCAGAGTCAAGGCATAGCAACCAAAACAAAACTAAAATTAAATAAATGTGTCAGTGTGTGTGTCTGTATTCAGGAATTTCCTAACAATGTGGCATATATTCAATATAGTGGCCTTCTGTAGTGTGATGTATGTATTTCTATTCAATTGTAATGTTCCCAGGCTTTTGTGTAGTGTGTGTGGTATCACACCTGTACAGGAGAGAACAACAGGTACAATAAGCACCCTATCCATCCTCCACAGATGCCTTATTTCCTGGGCGAGTTCTGTGTACTTGCTAATTTTTTCAGTGCATGTGTTTTGTACATTGTGAGTGTTTGGAATGGCTATGTCTATAATGTATGTGATTTTATTGTGTTTGTCAATGAGTGTGATGTCTGGTCTGTTGTGGTAAATTGTTTTATCTGTGATTATGGCTCTGTCGTAGTACATTTTGTGCGTGTTGTTTTCCAATACTGTCTGTGGAATATACTTGTAGTATGGTTCGTGGATGTCTACCAATTTGTGTTTCTTTGCAAGCTCTTGGTGTATTATATTTGCTACTTGATTGTGTCTATGTAAGTAATCTGTCTGTGCCAAGAGCTTGCAACCAGAAGTGATGTGTTGTATAGTTTCTGGCATGATGTGACATTTTCTGCATGTGTCATTTGTGAGTGTTGTATCTTTGAGTATGTGTTTTCTGTAGTTTTTAGTATTTATGACCTGATCCTGTATGGCAATCATGAATCCTTCCGTCTCCCCAAAGAGGCATCCCCGATCTAACCAGCTGTTTGACGCAGTTTTGTCAACAAAATCCTGGGCCAGGTCGTAAGGATGCCTGCCATGGAGAGCCTTTTGAGCCCATGATTGCTTAATGTTGTCTATGCTTTTTATATGTTGTGTCATGTCTGTATGTTGTGAGTGTAAGTTTAATGGTGTGTTATTTGAGTCTGCTAGAGTTACTGCTTTATGTAACTGTGATGTTTCTTGTTTCTTGTAGAAAAACTCTCGCAGTGACTGTATTTGTTTGTAGTGAAGGTTAACTATGTCAATCAGGCCACGTCCGCCTTCTTTACGTGGAAGGGTTAATCTTTCTGTGGCGGATTTAGGATGATGTTGTTTATGCTTAGTAAGTGTTGTTCTTGTTTTCCTTTGGAGTTGCTCGAGATCTGTGTGAGTCCAATGTATAACTCCAAAAGAGTATGTGAGTACTGGGATGACATATGTGTTTATTGCTTTAACTGTGTGTTTTGCATTTAGCTGTGTTTTGAGAATGGCATTTAACCTACTTTGGTATTCTTTAAGTAATCTTTGCTTTATCTGTGTATGTTATGTTAGTTTGGCCTGTTGGAATCCTAAATACTTGTAGAACTCGGCCTCATCCATGGATTCAATAACTTCTCCATTTCCAAGTGCAAAATCTTCTTTCTTCAGGATTCCTTTTCCTACGTGAAGTTTTTTGCATTTGTCTAAGCCAAACTCCATTTGTATGTCCTTAGTGTATGAGTGTGTGATTTGTAGCAGTTTATTATTATTATTATTATTATTATTATTTAAATTTTTTAACTTAGTTCTTTCAAGTTTTACAACCCTCTTTTTAATAACTTCCATAAAATAATTAATAATATAAAATTAAAAATAACCCCAGGTAACCCCCTTTTTAGTAATAAAACACACCTTTAATAATCCAGCTAATAAAAATGAATAACATAATAACGTTTTTGATCGTTTCTTAATGATCTTTTTCAGTTACCATAAGGTGAGATCTGAAAGGCCCCTGGGTCTAAAACAGTAATTTTATTAATAATGTTAAATATTGTCATAAAATATTATTTCATTTTGGTGAGAAATTAACGTTTTCCAACATGGGAAAAATAGATAACAGATGTTACTTCCTTCGAGGGAAGTTAGTACATCCTCTGTTTTTCCCTTATCTGCGAGAAACCTCACTTTGATGGGAAATGTTTACCCTTCACATATTCCCCTTTTCGTCCGTTTCCACGGAAGAACCTTGCATGATGATTGGTTGCCGATCGTCAGATATAGTGGAAATTTATCAGAATTCGTGGAGTTCATTGACAGACATAGAAGAGTCAGGACTCCATACATATTTGCTCTTAAAGGCCAACGCCTATACTATGAGCCATACAATATACGAAGGATTGAGTCTAGAAATACACCCAGTTAAGTGGATCTCTCCAGAGGAAAGAAGACAGAGAATTCAAGGAGTGAACAAATACTTCATATACAGAGCCGAAGAGTAAAGACAACGATCAGGTTGTATGTTTGTAAATGATTTTGTGAGCTCTCTCTCTTGATCGTGTATCAGTTAGATATAAGTCCATATCTCGCACGACTTATAGACTGTAATTAGTAGTAGTAGTCTCCTTATCATATATTTGTATTCCCATTATTTGTTTACGTTTAATTAAATTTACTCTTGTTTATTTTAGAAAGAAATGTCTCTCAATTATTATCTGAATAAGATTGCCCCACGCGTGTTTATCTGCGTGTAAAACAACCGATAAACTGGTGTCTAGGAATCCTGACATAGATCTGGACTTCGCAGTCTAGATCGGTTTCGCGTATTTACCGCCCTCCTATAAAAGTAAGAGAACCGATCTCACGATCGCGTGTCCGTAAGTGGCGTAACTTTGTTTACGTCCTGGCTGATCTCACAATAGCATAGAATAAAATCGAACACAAAAAAGAACGTAAATATGAAATTTGTGTTCGATTTTATTCTATGCTATGGTAACTGAAGAAGATCGTTAAGAAACGATCGAAAACGTTATTATATTATTAATTTTTATTAGCTGGATTATTAAAGGTGTGTTTTATTACTAATATATTTATCCAGTTCATTCGTTATATAAGTAAACCCCCTTTTTAAAAATATATTTACTTTATTTACTATTTTTACATATTTTTACCTAAATAATGTAGAATTTAATAGTTTACATTATTTAGGGAGGAAAAACGTTTTTAAATTTATATTTTCCTTTTGACTTTGCTCAGAACCAGTAATGTCTTAGTGATTAGTCTGTGGCTGAAGAGGATTCTGAATCTGAAATGAATTCTGCATAATGACTATTCGTAAAACTTAATTTGTCCATCTCTGTAAAATACATTCCTGTATATATCCTTATTTTATCAAATTATATGATTTAAGAAA